ATCCTTGAGATGACCTCCATCTGGAATTTGTAAATAAACAAGAGCCACACATGAAAGGAGAGTTTGAGAAAGGAAAGATGAATGAAAAATAAAGCAATTAATTAAATGTAATTAAAATCAAACTAAATGTAATTCAAACAGAATTTAATTTAATTTAGCAGATTTCAAATGATTACAAAGGTGTTTCAGCTTAACATATAAAATACAGTTTTGAGTTTTTTTTTTTTTAAAGCTTTTACCAAATATAAAGAATGAACAGGAGAGTTATAGAAATATTACAAAACGAAACTGAAAAATAAAATGTAATTAAAACGAATTATTATAAAATAATTAAATGTCATTAAAAATAAATGTTATTGAAATTTAATTCAATTTAATTTAACATTTAATTTAATTTCAGGTTTGAGGATTAATATAGGAAAAAAAATATTTGTAACAAATACCAGTACAATAACCAGGTATTTAAGTTTATCATAAATAAATACAATTTCTTTTATTCTCATGCATATTAACTAACTGAATACAGTTACCCAAATTCTAACCACACTCTTTTTTACAATGAAAAAAAAAAATGCTGATTGTAAGAAATCTGAATAAATGCATTTTGAAAATATGATTATTTAAATAAAATTGAATAAACAATGGCATGATTTTTTATTTGAGTGCAAAAATCTTACCTGTTTCATTAAGAGTATGAATGACTGACAAAAATAAGCATCACATTAAGTTTATTAGTTTATGTTAAAATTGTGTGATCCAAATGGATGGACATTTTTGATGCAATTCAAATACATAAATCTTAAATTTAAGCTTAGTTAGTTCAGCTTGAGTTAGAACATGATATTTTGCTGCTGATGATTCCAGGTTGATTGACAGGTGTTTATTCGACCGGTGGGGTTTCTTGATTATTTGGGAGAGTCAGCAGGAAGCTCATGTTAACAGCGACTCCGTGCTGGTAAACCCAAACAGAGAGCTTTACATGGAGAGGCTTGAGGAAACTGGTCACTTTGAGCTACTTTACCAGCGGATTCGCTCTTCACTACAGTGTTAGGTAGTTCATCTCAAAATGGAGCATGCGGTGTGTTTACAGACGTGGATTAGCATGTGCACAAGGTGACTTTGAGTTTGTGGAGCTTCTGCAGAGTAAATAAGCCGATAATGGCTTGAATTAGTGCTTGGCCGTTGAGTTTTGATTTGACCTTTTAATTTAAAAGATAAACGAATGTCAACTTTAGGCTGTACTCATGGTTTCAGAATGCTATGGATCCAGTACTGTAAAGTATAATGGTATACTTAAGTAGTGAATAATTACTACATTCATATATCATTGTATGTACAGTATGCTGTTTATTTCAGCAAGGCAAAAAAGCAATTTTTCAAACGCTGTGTGAGGCATTGACCCTCCAGCCCTGCGAACCTTGACGATGCATTTGTTTCTGATGACATCAGGGACTTTACACACATCTGTGAAAACCAGGTGCCTTAACCAGTAACCTGGCAACAAGCCGATCAGGACCCCGTCAAGGTTGACTTCCTCGCTACCTGAGAGAGAAACAGTTCTTATTTAAGCCGGAAATTGAAATAGCATTTAAAGGAATGAAAAAAGGAATGTTATTGTTGCAGAGCTGCTCTGCATTAATATTCTAATATAATCTGGTTGGTGAAGAATGAATGGGAGAGTTTGTGGTTGCTGTCCTTTATTTTCTCTTCTATTAAAGGCTCATAGTTATGAAAATTCTGAGATAACATATTGCAAAAAAAAAAAAAAAGTGGCGGAAACAGGCTTCCATATTTTCCATATTTACTTTTTGGTATTGAGTGATTTCATTCCAATGCGTTGTTGGATTGGGTGTCTATTAGGTGATCACTAGGTTTTGGAACAGAAGAGCATTGATAATAATGTTAGAAGCATTGTGACGAGGGGGGCGGGGTCGAGAGCCGTGGGAACGGAGCGAGGCCGGTGGAGTTAATGGATAATGAGCGACACCTGCACCACTCACCGGTCTCGAGTCTCACGGAGGAGCTCCGGAAGGATATAAAGGAGGAGTGACGACAGGGAAAGACGAGAGAGGACCAGGCCTGGATTTTATTTTGTGTTTTGGTTTCGTTTGTGCGCGGCAGTCGTCCGTGAGGGGCTGTCGCGCTATTGTGTGTTTATTTTATCAAAGTTTCTTGGAGTGTTCGCCGGTTCCCGCCTCCTTCTTCCCGTGACTAAGAACTGTGTTACAAGCATATTGTTTGATATGCAAAGATGTTCAGTTATGTCTCTTTTTTTTTATATACTGAGAAAGATAATATGCATGCTTTTACAAGACATTAATAGCTGTATAAACAAATACATACTGCAATTAGTTTATGCAGCATATCATAAGACAGAAAGCATCTTTAAAGCAAACATGGCAGCTGAACACAGACACAAGTGGAATGATGAAGCTGTCAAAACCGATGAAACGCGCTATTGTGTGTTTATTTTATCATTAAAGTTTCTTGGAGTGTTCGCCGGTTCCCGCCTCCTTCTTCCCGTGACTAAGAACTGTGTTACAAGCATATTGTTTGATATGCAAAGATGTTCAGTTATGTCTCTTTTTTTTAATATACTGAGAAAGATAATATGCATGCTTTTACAAGACATTAATAGCTCTTATAAACAAATACATACTGCAATTAGTTTATGCAGCATATCATAAGACAGAAAGCATCTTTAAAGCAAACATGGCAGCTGAACACAGACACAAGTGGAATGATGAAGCTGTCAAAACCGATGAAATGTATTTGAGCGGTTCCACAGGAATGATTTAAACATCTGAAGCTTTAGTACATACTTGATTTTCATGCCCTTTCCACATAAGTGGTTCTGCTCAGAGAGCCGCAGTGAAATGTCATTACCTTGAGTTACCAACGAGAAAGTCTGTATTTTTATCCGTCCTGTGAGAATGAAATATTCCCACGGAACAGAGCGGCTCCGGTGCGGTGTGGTTTGCTAACCGTAATTAACCCTGGTGTTTATAGGGCTGGATTTGAGCGTGTGGCGCCCACACAAGGCTCTCTCAGTGTGAGGATGAAAGGTGCCTCAACGCCGCTGGAAGAAAAAGGTCATTCACAATCAGAGCCCAGAGGGGAGGCCTTGCCCTCTCGTTCTTTACCTCTCCTCTCTTACAACATCAATCACAATCTCTCTAAAAATCTGGTTGAAATTGTTTTTCCAGGTGCTCGCAGCCAATCACAGCCGATCACTGATTGTTCCAGTGTTGTCATTTATAAAAAAGGCGACTGAAAGAATGATGTGCTGATTTGATGTAATTTGTAGGGAACAAGAAAGGGGAACAAAACAACATCTATTTTGATCAAACATCATAAATGTTAAACAATAGATTTTACTCATCATAATAATACGTATACATGAAACACAAACTCAATAAACTACTAACTGAGCACAAACTACCACTAGAATATCACATTATATATATATATATACTGTGTGTGTGTGTGTGTGTATATATATATATATTCCAAAGGGTTTTAGAATATTTACATCAGTATATATAACAATATATATATTAGGTCAAATTTATTGTCACATAGGCACATTTATTTTTTGTGTCTTTATCAGCAGGTTACTTTTTTATTTTAAATAATGTGAGCAGATGTACATTAACAGAATATTTGTTTTAGTTCGTGAGATTAAGGACTGTAATTATACAACCTTTAATTCATTTTACTCAGTTTGAGGAATGGAAATGTTGAACATGTTTGTTTTAATTTGAGCGCAGAGTGAGAAATGCTGATCAGTTTGCGTTATCATCAAACGTCTGTAACTACATGAACTGTAATCAACAGTACTTGTGTGTTTTGCATTTTTCATCCCACTAAATGTGTTTTCTCACATTTTGACTAATAATTTGAATATCTTGTGTTCATGTGCAGATATGCGTGCCTGCTCTGCAGTAAAGCAGATTTTGTATTATTTATTTGTTTTGTCATATTTTGACTGTAGTTGTCATGTAGATTAAAGGTCATTTAAGGATTAGAGACGTCATGACTGAAAATCCATGAACTGTTTTGTGCTGCCGCAGCTTGAGCAAACAACAGCAACATTCACTCCGACTGTGACACAGCGAAGATAGCCTGTTTCTTAGGGTAATAAGTGTTTAAATTGCAGCATTTTAACCTTCATCTTACACGTAAGGGTCAGACATGTTAATAGAGGACTTTTTTTCATTTTCTTATTTGTTTCTATTGTAACTTCAAAGCACATTTTAGGAAAAACATCTTTTCTTGAAAAAAGCATGACTGAAAATTCAGAGAAAGTCTCTTGAGCTGCAGTTGACATGCATTAAAAGTATAGAGCTATTTGCGTCATTGTTCAGATCTCAAAAGTCCATTTAATGTCATTGTTATCTAGGAGAAATTTAAGATCCCAAAGAGAATTCTGTTCCTATGAATTACCAAAGCAGAAATTAGCATTTTTTTCAGTGCTAAAAGGCTTACCTAAAAGTGTAAACTCAGAATTGTGTGGAAAAAATGTCAGAATTGCAAGATATAAACTCTTAAGAGTTTTTTCTCGCAATACTGATTTATAAACTTTCAACTCAGACTTTGTTTTCTTCAGAATGCTGAATTTACATTTACTTGCAATTGATGATTTGCGATTTCGAGACGCATTTCTGAGGAAAAAAGTTTGAATTTAAAGTTTATAAATCAGTATTGCGAGATAAACTTTCAATTGTTTATATCTCGCAATTTTGACTTTTTCACACAATTCTGAGTTTAGATTTTTCAATTAATAACTTGCAAGAGATGAGCTCACAATTTTGCAAAAAAAATCTGAATTTTGAATATATAACTCTATAACTTTAAGATCGAGATTTATAATTGCGAGATTTACATTTCTGAGTAAAAAAAGTCTGAATTGTGGGATATAAACTAACCGTTTATATCTAACTGTTTGACCAAATAACCTCTGTGATTTAGTTTTTAACTTCCTTTTTCTGTCTGTGCAGGTGGGATTTTCGAGACACTTGAGAATGAACCGATTAGCGTGGAAGAACTTGCCTTCAAATTCGCTGTAACCAACATTAACAGAAACAGAACTTTAATGCCCAACACCACCCTCACCTACGACATCCAGAGAATCAACCTGTTCGACAGCTTCGAGGCCTCCAGACGAGGTTTGATTCTTACATGTACACACTGGCAGACCCTTTTATCCATTACATGCACAGACCAGTTCATGCATTCCGTGGGAATCGAACCCATGACTTTGGCATTGCTAGTGCCTCGCTTGACCATTTAAGATGCAGGAATGATGGCAAAAAGAGCTCAGTACCAAAACTTACATGATTGTATACACTGTAAAAAATATTTTTTAGAAGTTGTACATAAAACAAATATTATTGGAATATGTTTTAATTTAAATAAATGTTTTATTTAAAAAAAAAGTAAAATATATTTTTATATTACTTTTCAATGAATGCAGTATTTCATGTTAAAATAGGAGTCAATGCCTTTAAAATCCCATTTTTGAAGCCAGATTAAGTGAATCCTTCAAGGCTGAGCAGGGAACATTAATCGTCACAGATAATACATTCTAAAGTGCATTCGGAAAATACATTCACTTGTCTTAAGGTCAGTGTTACTCTAATATAATTTATTTGCAATTTTTCTTAGTTTTACACATTTATTATTATTATTTTTAAGACCACCACATGTACTCGTGTGTGTGTGTGAGTGGATGTGTTGGTTTTGCACTCTTGAGGTTTTAGAGTTTCACCCTGTCATTGCTGTGTACTTTTTTCGGCATTGTGTCAGATTTGTAGATTATACACACAAAAATTCTCAGAATTCTCAGAGTTTTTGTCGATTTCCCATTCACTTCCTATATGGTCAGTCATTTTTATAGTGATATAGATAGTGAATTGGTGGGTTTTTGTTAAATGTGAGCCAAAATAATCACAATTAAAAGAACCAAAGACTTAAACTACTTCAGTCGGTGTGCATTGAATTTATTTAATACACGAGTTTCACAATTTGAGTTGAATTACTGAAATAAATTAACTTTTCCACGACATTCTAATTTATTGAGATGCACCTGTAATTGCTATGGGAGCCTGTTTTCACCACAGAATAAAACATTTAAAAAGATAATTGTGACTTTTTATCTCACAATTTAGACTTTTTTTGATCCAAGTTTATATCTCACAATTTTGTTTTTTCTCTCTGAATTCGGAGTTTACATCTTGCAATTCTGTTATTTTGTATTTTGCCATGGAATAATAAAGAAAAAAAGGAAATTATGATTCTTTATCTCACAATTCTGACTTTTTCCTCACAATTGTGAGAAGAAAAAAAAAACTCTGAATTGTGAGATAAAAAAGTTGCAATTACCTTTTTAAAATCCTGTGGCAGAAACAAGCTTCTATAAATTGCATTTGAATACACTGTAAAAAAAAAATGTGATGATCAATAAGTTGTGGCAACATGTCAATTTCAACTTCATTTTTTAAGTTATACAAGATCCAACTACGCAAGATTTTCAAAATGAGTTAAAATAACTTGTACAGCCAATTTGATTGTATTTAAAAATTGAAGGCAGCAAGGCTAAACTATACTTTGCTTCCAAAGTATATTACTAGTCTTTTATGCTTAAGTAGAAAGAACGACTCCACCAGATCATCAATTGGGATTCAATTAGAAGTACCTGGGGTGTATTCAGAACATGGAAAATCAGCTTTCTCTTACTATGTTCCTTGGTTGTGGAACGATTTTCAAATTATTACTCCATTAGAAGCAACTCCTTCTTTGAATATTTATTTTTAAATTAATTGCAGCATGGAATGAATGAACCTTGTTGTGGTTTTAATTAAGCTGTTGATTTATGATAACTGTTTTGCTTTGGTCGTATATAATTTTGTTTTGTGTCTTATATATGTTACTTTTAAAATTTTTTGTGAAACTTCTGTACGGTCATCTTGATCAAGACTTCCTGGAAGAAGAGATTTCATTCAATCACAATGGGACCTTCCTGGAAAAATAAAGGATAAATGATGGACAAATGTTTTAATGGTGCCTGAGAGGCTCAATGTTTACACTTTTGGGAGAAATAAACCCATGAATGGCATACTTAAGAGACTGTATTTTGACATAAAAATCTTTAAGTGTGTTAATAAAGTGACTGATGTTCGTTTCTCAATGGCAGCCTGTGATCAGCTGGCTCTCGGTGTGGCCGCCGTGTTCGGCCCGTCCCACAGTTCTTCAGTGAGTGCAGTCCAGTCCATCTGCAACGCTCTGGAGGTTCCTCACATCCAGACCCGCTGGAAACACCCATCTGTGGACAACAAGGACAGTTTCTACATCAACCTGTACCCAGATTACGCCTCCATCAGCCGCGCCGTGCTCGACATCGTGCAGTTCTACAAATGGAAAGCAGTGACGGTGGTGTACGAGGATGCAACAGGTGGGATGGCTGATTTTTATTGCTCAGAAATTTCTCCTTCATTGCTTAGGAACGTGGCGTTCTCAGATATAACTCAAGTATCAACTTTGGCGCATATGCTTCATTCTAAAAAAATGTATGTGGGATATAAAACAGACACAAATTAGACAGTTATTTAATATATTATATTTATTTATTTGCATGAGATTGAACACAGGAAACACACACACACACATGTAATGGCCTCATACAGCAGTGATATAATTCAATAGAATTATATGGAACTTATCCAAGTGTGCAGGAATTAGATACATTTATCATCATATTATTATTGTGTATATACCGTAATTATCAACCATCCCGTGAGTGTCTGATGGTTGTTAGGATCTCAATGCTTTATGAAAAATGTCCATAATTCACATTTCTGCTCTGAATTTGACATTTTTGTGAAAAATGATGCGGTAAATATTGACTTCGAGATCATATCCGGGATAATTGGACTTTTCTTCATTATTATTATTAAAAAGATTAGGATATGATTAACTGTGTGTAATTTGTCAGGGCTGAAAAATATTAAAAACACCCCAAAACAGCAAGATTTCTGTTCGGAAAAAGAAGATTTTTCCTGTTTAATTTCAGATGATGAATATTTGAATTAAAGCTGAAAATCAGCTTAAAATGTTATGTGCTAAATCTGAGTCAAAGCAGAACTTGATTAACTCATTTAACACTCTACACTACTGTAATATATATTTTTTAAAGACGTCTCTTCTGCTTACCAAGGCTGCATTTATTTGATTAAAAATGCAGTAAAATCAGTAATATTGTGAAATATTATTAAAATAATATAACTGTTTTCTGTTTGAATGTGTTTTAAAATGTTTACTCCTGTGATCAAAGCTGAATTTTCAGCATTATTATTCCATTCAGAAATAATTCTAATATGCTGATTTCTTATTATTTCAATGTTGAAAACAGTTGTGCTGCTTCATATTTTTGTGGAAACCATGATACATTTTATTTCAGGACTGTTTAATGACTAGAAAGTTCAAAAGAGCCGCACTTACGTGAAACCTTTCTAAGATTATACATGTCTTAACTGTCACATTTGCTAAATAAAATAATTAATTTCTTTAAAAAACCTTTTGAATTGAAGTGTGTTTCTATAATCTTTGCTGATTTTGTCTATATAATATTTTTAGGGCTAATTCGTCTTCAGGAGTTGATCAAGGCTCCGTCACGCTACAGCATCAAAATCAAAATCCGACAGTTACCGATGGGAAGTAAAGATGCTCGGCCGCTTCTTAAAGAAATGAAGAAGGGGAAAGAGTTTTGTGTCATCTTTGACTGCTCATACCAGACTGCAGCAGACGTCCTCAAACAGGTAACACACCAGGACCGAACTTAATTGAGATTCCCTTTTAAATTCCAATTTAGTTTTGAGGTACCAAACAGGATGCAGATTTCAAATTTGAATGTTTGAACGCAATTTGAATTTTGAATATGACTAATTTTGGACTGGAAAAGCAAAGATTGTAAAGACAAGCCTTGTTTGTAAGTTCTAAAAAAAAGTTTAAAGTAAAATTTTATAGGCGCAAGACCTGTGTTGATTCTGATATTGTGAGATATTGTTACATTATTCAATTATGTCTGATGTCATGCACTGACAAATCAAATTATATTTATTGTGTTACAGCAATAAAAAATACTACTAATCCCTAAACTAAATCCCCATCAGTTGTGATGCATTTGATTGTCCCATTTTGTTTTTAAAAACATTTCTTGACATATTTTGTAAAGGATACAGATATGCTTTATTTCAGTGTTTTGATTTCAGGTCTCTAGATATTAAACGCATGCTTCCTGTTACAGCAGATCCTTTATTCAAACCTAACATTGGGAATGAGGAAAATAATAATCACAAATGATGTGAAAGGCAGTGAAAATGAAATCTGTGGGTTATTTGTTCATAATATGAGTGATGTAATATCTGTTTGAATGGAGGATGCTGGTGCAGATGGAGGTTTAACTTCTCTCTCTCTCTCTTTCTGCTGTAGCTCTTGTCTATGGGCATGATGACTGAATATTACCATTTCTTCTTTACCACTCTGGTGAGTTTCATATATGGATTCTTTGAGTTTTTCTTTGGTTCTGTCATTGTTTTGATTTGAAATTTCAACAAGGTTGGTTCTGCTGATGTGCATTTTGTTTTTAGTCAATAAAGTGCTGCAGCAATGACATATTTTTGTAGGCCAATCTGGAAATTCGCATCACTCCGGTTCCCTCAACAAAAACCCAATATGATTTTTCCATTGCCTTTTGGATTATTGCAGAAAATAAGCTCTAGGACCAACAAAAGTTTAAGATTCTTACAGGTTTTGTTTATCATGATAATCTTCACAACTATTATGAATCCTGAAGCCTAAATGCAACTGCCATAAGTAAGAAGCTAAATGTAGACTATAAACACCACGGTCACACATGGTTTCACTAAAAATTTGAATTAGTATATTTTGCAAGAGCGCAATTATAAACACAAAGAGGCTGTGAAAGTGACTATAGAATAGATGAATTTACCTTTCACAAGACAAATAAAAGATTTTTTTGAAAAAAGTCCCAAGGTGGTATTTGCTGAGGTATTTTATGTCATAGAATAAAACTTGAAAATATCTTGAGCTTGTGTTCACCACAGACCTTATTTTAGGCATTTACCAGAATCTCATTGACTTCAGGATGTTAAAAGCATAACTCCTAAAATCTCGTTTCTGGGTTTAGGCCTACAAAAATAGGTAATCCTTACCGCGCTCTACAGCTAGAAACCAAGAAGCATTTTAAGAAAAGGAATCTATTGTTAAGCTTCATATATTGTATGACACACTTCAGGATCTGTTTGCATTGGACCTGGAGCCGTACCGATACAGTGGCGTGAACATGACGGGTTTCCGTCTGCTCAACATCGACAACACTCATGTGGCGTCAGTGGTGGAGAAATGGTCCATGGAGCGACTGCAGGCTCCACCCAAACCCGAGACCGGCCTGCTGGACGGAATGATGACAGTCTGTCCACTCTCTCTCTATGTATTGTCTTAAAAATAAATGTTCCAAAGGGAGTTTTTACAGCGATGCCATAGAAGAACCATTTTTGGTTCCCCCAAAGAACCTTCCAGTAAACATTTCTTAAAAAAACATCTTTTTTTTTTGTGTGAAGAAGATTTTTATAATCTAAAGAACCTTTTTCCACTATAAATAACCTTTTGTGGAATGCAAAGGTTCTATATATGTTAAAGGTTGTTCTTGGAACCATCAATGCCAAAAAATAACCTTTATTTTATATATATGTAATATATTATTTATTTTATATATATGATATATATATATACAGTACAGTACAGTACAGTATACAGAATATATATGATGATACTGAATGATTCATATATATGAAGATATGGTA